TTGAGTTTTCTTTTCATACCACCACAACCAAACAATCTGACTGGTCTAATAAAAATTGTTGCGACTTAAACCGTTATTGAAATCATTGTAATACTCTTTCGACAAAAAAAAGAAGAAGAAGAAATCATTGTAACACTCAACTAATACGAGTATACGCAAATGAACCAAGCCAGAAAATAGAAGACATCGAACCAGGACAAAAGAAAATGAGTACACGGTAATTTCAGAGAGTTTGGCTTTCTGTCGACAACGGTCCTGACATCAGAAAGGGTAACATATATTTGGAATCTCTTTTGAAAATTCGATTTGATATATTTCGACTCCAACTTATTGTATTGTACTAACATTGGCTTTTTCAATAACATTCACACAAAGTTCAAAGATTCCTTTCTACTCATCCTCCGAATATGAACCTACGACTTAACAAGGACAATGTTTTTAACACACTCAAACCAATGCAGAGGAGTTATCTAGCACACAACGGACACAAGAATTTACAGAGTTGAAAGAAGAGAGACACTTGTAAGTTATCACAACATGTATCTGAGTTGGAGATGAAGTGTGTGCCAGTGAGCGTTCCTTACTCTGAGTGCGATGTCCAATACATTAGCCCACTGCCAAAAGAATTGTAGTCAGAATGCATATTGATATGCATCAGATTTGCAGTAAAAGAAAACAAAAAGCTACAGAATTTTTAACGTCTCAGTGCCAATACACATCACATCTCTACTTCTGAATTTGCCATACAAAAGCTATCTACTCTCTTATAATTCATATGCTACTTCTAGCTGAGTGAAAAACTAGAAGAAAAAAAAACAGTCAGGATCATTCATAATCTTTTAGATAAACGAAACACTGAAACTCTCAATCTTATTGCAAGCTTAATGACTGTAGTTTGGATTCGTCAAGCTTTTAGTCCAGGTGCAAAGAGAAGACAACCACATAAGTTAAACATGGAATTGATCGAATTCAGAGTGACTAAAATCGTAATCATTTCGTAGAAGTTTGGGTGATTTAGTGCTATCTAAAAAGAAGAACCTTGAATCTTTGGCAAGTATACCTTATCAAGACAAACACACATTGAAAGACACCGGCCACACCAGTCCATGTGGAAGGGCCAGTCTTGACGACCGAATCTTGAATCAACAAGCCAACAGAAGCAGCTAGGGAAACAAATGCTACTACATAGGCTATGAAAAGCCATAGCTTCAATCTGTACCAAGAAGCCAAACAAGACAATGAAAAACTGACTCTCAAATCTCAGCTTAAACTTGATTTCAGATAAATGAGCAAAAGCTATTCTGATATCAAATTTGCGAATATAAGTGAATCAATTGAAAAAAAAAACTGAACCTCCATTCGCCTTCGTCATAAGGAGAGTAATCAATGTCTTCTTTTCTCACGCAATTGAACATCAAAGCTCCGAGAGACGCGAATATGCCTGCGAAACCCAGAAGCAATATAGATCGCTCGATTTTGTTTGGAAACCCTAATTCACGAATTACGATAAGAGTATCCTTGGAGGAAGTAGTTACCGGGAAGGTAATGGACGAAGGGAACTTGGACGGAACTGCAGACGACGGCGTCGACCCAAAACCACCAGCCGGTTCCGAAAACAGCGCCGGAGAAGCCAGGCCCGAAAATCGCCCACAATTCAGCCAAATCCATCGCTCGATTATGATCGTTTCCAATGGATCTACCTCCGGTCAAGTGAAATTTTTTAGGATAATAACTTGTCGTTGATTACTGTGTCAAATTAATAAATTAATATAGGGGTTTCTCAAGGAAAAAATAATAATTCAACTTGCACCTTTTACTTCTCAAAAATACAAATCAAACCCCAATATAATTTTGGAAAAATTGTCAAATCTACTACTTGTTGAAAAAAATGTTTTCCAATCTATCACAATTTAAAATGTCTATTATTATTATTAAGTACCACAATGGCAAATTGGTAAATACAAAAATGACGGATATACCTTTGGCGTGGTGAGACGAGGAAGATGTAGACTACTATGTAGGACAAGACGTAATTGGTTTGGCAGGAGTTTTTTGAGAGGCAGCATTTAATGCCCTTTATAATTATGACAAAAAAATAATAAATAAATATTTGGGGATTTAATGGAAGAACTTAATGGAGTGATTTATATACCATTACGCAGAAGAAAGAGAAAGACTAGAAAATGTTTTCTTCAACATTAGACGTTTCCTTATCATCTGAGACAATATTATCAAGAGTGGCCTCATGATTTGTATGTCCACGTACTGAGGGACAGTTTGGCCCGATCCACAAAAGTTGAAACATCTTCAGCTGGTTTGTCGTCAGGGGACAATCACTATGCTTGGCTTTAGCCCTCTCAGTAATCGGAGGAAGAAGATGGTCAGCAGGTCAGAGGACATCAATTCTTCAGCGTTAGGGAGGACTACATTGTCTGCCTGGTGGACAACAATTTATGTCTGGTGGACAACATTTTCTACCTGCTGGACAACATCTACAGACTTTGGAAAGACAATATTTTCACTCAACTAGTGGACAGTGTTCTCATATGAGGGAAGGACATTGTTGTCGTGATCAAGAGACTCGGATTGAGATAACAGAGGGATTTTACAAATAGAAAAATACGGAGCATATGTGAAAGACTTTGAAGACACTATTTGTTTACAAATGGGCTCTCGTGGACAAAAAACCCCTTTGAAGACGAGTTTTATTAGACGATTTGTCGAATACATCAAAGAACATTGTTGTCCATGAATTTTAAAATCAGACTAAGGACGAGATTCAGAGGATATAAAAAGAAATTACATATCACTGGGTACCACTACGTTTCAAAGATGAAGAGTTCACAGGTATAAGATGCAAATTTTGGCAGTTCAATTTCTAAAAAGCTAAGATCTTCAAATGTTCAGATATGCAATTCGTTACCCGAGTTTTTGAAATCGACAGTATTTCTACTGATTTTATTTGTCGAAACTTTCGGAATCGAGAACTCGAGAACTCACTCAAGAACAGAACGACATGCAAAAATCAGAGATCAAAAACAAAATTTGGTGAATAAGACGGAAACAAGAGTTTCGTAAGAGAAAAGGGAAATGATTTGTTTTAATTTTTTTTTGGAAATAAAGTATGTGTGGGGAGATATGAAACGTCTGACACCGGTTCAAGAACAAAGTGGAATCATCTCTCAACACGCACACGCGAGGTACTGGCGCGTGCAAGGGCACAAAAATCTATTCGCGAGTGGGTTGTGGTATTGATGGAAAGAAATTTCCAATTGTGGTACATTGGAAAAACAACTTTTGAGGATGTAGTACTCTTGTTAATTTTCCCTATAATTTTTGGGTTTATAGATTTATTAGTGACTTTTAAAAAAAAATTTGCACACAACTTCTCG